TTGGGTCTTCATTTCTTTTTTTTTTAATAACATCGCGTAAGCTCCCAGACTAGGCCTCCTGGAAATCCATTCTTTAACCCATATTCTTTTTCTAGATTTTCTGGACTGTTTGCGTAAAATTGCAACAAGAAGAGCAGTGGCTGCAGCTCTCTTTTTACGGCGCGACATTTTTCTACTAAACAATATACTTGTGCAATATACACCATACCGTGTATACGTGCATGCAATTTCTTGCTCAAAGCATATGCCTAGAAAATACTTGTTGCAAGAAATTGCTTTAAAATTTGCTTTAATGTAAACACTATCGCAAGTTACTCTAGCAAGTTCTATCGCAATTTTCTATCCCGTGTAAACTAAGGTTTAACGCGTAAAGTAAAGCAAGGGCGTTTTTGGGTGCAATAACATTCAATAACTCAACTTTCCCGGATATTCAACTCTTCCGAAACAACATTTTATAGAGTCAGTTTCTCACACCAATTTGATCAAAAGCAAAGATAGATTCAAGGACCACAGGACAAATTCACAGGACCCCAGCTACTTGCAATATATGTCGAACACGTCTTCAGTTTGTGCGTTTACATGTGAATTGAGATATTGAGCAATGGACTAAAGTCCTTTTTATGGATGAATCGCGGTTTTGCCTGCGAAGCATTTTTCCGAGACGTTCGTTTTAAAGCAGCGTATCTCCAATACAAACAGAGATAATGTCGTGATTAAAAAAACAAAATGCTCACAAAAGATGAGACTACAATGTGATTTAATTTAGCAATAGCTACGACAGCTGCTGCGCCCTACAGGGTATTACAAAGTTAGGACAAAAAACTTCGTCTTATTTTTGTGCCCTATATATGCTCAAAATAAATTCGGAATAAAAATTTCTTTATTTCAATTTAAAAAAATATCATCAAAATCTAATGAGTGGTTCCCGAGAAATACAACTTTGAAATTGGGACTAGTTTTCTGTGGCCAGTTTTTTTGCCGATGAGTTTATAATAATTTTTTCGTATACTCGCTATTTAGCTATTTAAACATGTGTATTTGTATATTATTTGCGATATTCTCCGATGGTGGCAGCACCGGCGGAGAATGTACCAAGCCTATAATAATTAATATGTATGCTCATAAGGAGTTTCGTTTATTAATTTTGATATATTTTAATAGTATTAGCGGTAAAGAATATAAAAATTAATAAAAAAGATATAATAATATAGACACCAGTTATACTAAGGAAAAACGTAAATGTATAATTTAACTATGACTGAAATAAATTACATGCTCCGCGTTAATGCACATACAACATAGCGTATTTCTTCATGTTCAAACAGGAGCAAACAGAGAATGCACACACTTAACGTGGAAATTAACGCTTCGCGAGAAATTTCAAACTTCGCCACGAACAGGCATCCAATTAGGTTTATCAACTGGCTAAACGTACCGAAATTCGACCTAAATTTCTCGAGTAACGAAGTATAACATGTACTGTTTGATATTTGAAATTGTATGGCTAAGATAAATAAATATAGAAAAAAGAAAGATGAAAAAATATCAGGTGGTGGGTCAATTTTTTAGCTGAAATGATTTATAAGAAAGAAACAAAAAATCCAGTAGGTATAAAGCTTTCCCAAACCCAAAATAATAAAAATTTCTCTGCGCAAATGCATCATTTTCTTTTTTTCCGACTTTAGAATAACTAAAATTAGTGACATGGAAACATATTCCTGCTTTACATTCCATCATCATCATTTAGCTTATACCGTCCACTGCTGAACAAAAGCCTCCCTTAACTCTAGCCATTTCCTTCTATTTTGTGCCACTTGAATCCAGTTTCCAGCCACCCTCTTAATGTCATCTGTCCATCGACTAGGAGGTCGTCCTCTGCTTCTATAGGCCTCGTGTCTCGGTCTCCATTCCACAAGTCTCTTTGTCCACCGTCCATCTGTCATCCTAGCCACATGTCCTGCCCAATTCCATTTAAGATGTAAGACAGATATCACCGCATCTCTTACTCCTGTTCGATTTCGTATTGTATGATTAGGTATTTTATCTCTGAGTGTAACTCCCAACATGGACCTTTCCATTTTTCCGTTGCATGACCTGTATTCTATGTATGTTCTTTTTTTTTGTCAAAGTAAGCATTTCAGCTCCATACGTGAGGACAGGCAAGACACACTGATTAAAGATCTTTCTTCTTAAACATATGGGAATATCAGATCTCAGTATATGCCTTAGTTTGCCAAATGCCGCCCACGACAAACCTATTCTTCGTAGAATTTCGTGGGTCTGATTATCCCTTCTAATACCGATCTCATGCCCTAAGTATTTATAATATGCACTTGTTCCAAAGGTATGTTATTAATGTTTGAATTTCCACTTTTGTCATGTATTGTGTCTTTGACAAGTTAATTTTCAAACCGACTTTTTCCGAAGCATCATTCAGCATATCCAGCATATTCTGTGCCTGCTGTATGTTGTCTGTTATTAAAATAATGTCATCTGCAAAACAGAGATGATTTATCAATTTGCCATCGATGTTAATTTCTGTTGAATCCCAGTTTATCATTTTTCACATACTTTCTAGCACAGCAACGAATAGTTTAGGGTACAGTGTGTCGCCTTGTCTTACCCCTCGATCGATATTGAATTTGTCTGTGCATTGATTTGTCGATATTCTGACGTTTGCCTTGGCATTATCATATATATGTCTTATGATTGAGGAGTATCGATGATCGATGCGACTCTCACTTAGTGTCTCTAGAAGCTTCCGCTGGTCTACCGAATCGAAGGCCTTCTCGAAATCCGCGAAGACACAATCTTACATTCTATACACTTTTCTAAACATAAACACAAAAAACTTGCGGAAATAGGCCATTTCCATATTGAAATAAAATAGTGTTACCTTTAGAAAAACTGAAATCAGTTAGTTACACACGTTTTACATTCTAATCGTTCTTCTAAATTTGCACATTGTTTTCATTTTTGAAAAGGTTAAAGTGTTATAAATTTTAAGAATTAATAATAAAATTTAAGAATATTAATAAAAATGTAGGGAATTACGAATGACAATGATGACATCAAAGCAATCAAATTCGTATTAAAATTGTGAAATAATAGAATCACAATAAAGGTTTAAACTATTATACCGTGCTGGCAACTGTTACTTTTGGGTCGGCATTTACATGTGTGGAAGTAAATCGCATAGGGATCTTATTAAGTCGGAGTGAGAGAAATGCGACCGACCGACGCGACGGTGTGCTGTTGCGGCGTTGCCGATACGCCTTTCCCTATCAAGTAAAGTAAAATCACGATCGCAAACCGCATATTTTTAAAAGACTTTTTTTTCAAGAGATAACTAGATAAAATCATTAGACATGTTTCTGAGCATCTGAAATGGAATTATAAGGATATCGTTAGGGTATCATTATTTTATAACGAGAAAACGTCAGTAATCGCGACAATTTAAAAACTCAACTGTTTAACACATAACAGGCCATAACTCAAGAACCACTTTAGATATTGAAACTTTTTTTATTTTCAAGATCGGATATTTTACAATATGTTTACATAAGAAAAATTCTCGATAAGGTTGTTTTTTCCATTCAAAAATTGTTAACAATCCATCCATTTACTTTTAGAGCATAGCAATTTTCAGCAATCGTGTAATTTTTTTATTGATAAAGACTTTCACATACTGTCTACAAAGAAAATACAGCAGAAATATTAACAAAGTTCTTGAAAAAACTACAATCTATTATTTCTAATAGATTTTGAGATATCGAGTTTTGAATTCAGAGTTCTAATAGCGCGACCACTATCGAACACCCACTCAATTCCACTTATTTTTACAAAAAATGCAAGTGATTCCAGCTTGCACTTAAAAAAGTTCAAGCCATAGGGAAAATTACAACGACTCGTTAATAAATAAACAAATTAAGTATCACGAGACGTAATGAAATCGTGAAGCTGAACGCATGACGTACACCTTTCCCTAGAACTTTAAGTACTGACAGAGGTATTGATTGGGTCGACCGGTCAACTGCGACAAATCTGCTATATCCACGTCTCTTAGCGATGTGCACAGTTCCTCGGTTTATTTCATACGTTTGGCAACGTGTTTACTGTCCTCTGTTTATTCAGTACATTATAAACGCTTTGTACTCTTCTTACATACGGAAATCTCGACCCAAGACTAACCTTTGCCAGCTCTTAGTAGGTATATGTTACCGTTATAAATGTTTATTAAAATCAGGACTGTATCTTTAGCCTTTAACGTTTTTTTTTAATTAGTATAGAGTATCCAATGCAGCGTAATGTGACATTACGACAATGGGCACCAAAACCATCTCGTCATATTAAAAAATTATATCAAAAAGTAATGATGATTGAAAAAACTGCAAATTGACCGTGGTCAGTTCATTTCGTCCTTAAAAATTAACCAAAGCATGTATTGACTTGAATCAAAAAACAAAACAAACTGCTCAGGAGTCATATGCTTTGTTCGGGTTCTTGTTATTAACGATTCTGAACCGTCCTAGAACTATGCAGCGCATGCGCAAATGAAATAACTTCTTCATATTTCCTTCTGCGCACGCGTATCACAGTTCTAGGACGGTTCAGAATCGATAATAAGAAAAACCCGAAGTAAGCTATAGTTCTGCCCGTAAAATTATATTTTAGGAAAATTTACACAAGAAATTATTGCACAGGGTGTTTTAAAGTTATAATAAAAAACAACCCCTCGATTAACTCTGTATAATATGCCGAATACTAAAGTTAATAAAAAGCGTAGTTTACGAATTAAAGTTGATATAATTATATACAGTGTGCTAAAAAATTCATAAAAATAGGGCTAAAAATAACAAAAATATAACACTTTAAATTTGACCAAAATTTTTTCCGTTGCGTTTTTTTTGCATCTGAGTGTAGTTTGTTTTAATGTCTTACCTTTTGGCTTAGACTACGTATTAGAGGACAAATATGAAAATAAGTTTGTATTCACTTACCCCGATATATAAAAATGAAAACCTTTGTCTTGTTAGCACTGATCTGAATATTCACTGGAGAAAATGTCACAGAGCTTTCAAATATGACAATGTGAAAATAAATATTTTGGTTAAATTCATAGATAAAAAAAATAACCTTGATTATAACGATCTATCAAAGAATGAAATCGAAATTATATTACCATAGAAACCCCTTTTAATTTTTAGAACTTCGGTGAAAAAATTCAACTACATTCTCATGTTTTTTTTAGTTTTCTCTAAATAGGCCAGTAAGCGAGGATAAAAATAGGGTATTACCTCCGAATTCTTGACACCCGCACCGATTGACGTGAAATTTTAACAGTGAATAGAGATATATATAAGAAACAAAAGGTACATAGTAGCGATGTGTGCTTTCACCCTGGGGGTGAATGCCACCCCTTCTCTTGGGTGAAAAATAAATCACCCATTTTAATTTTGGTATATAAAAACCAAACCAAAAATCAATAAAGGGATGAATTCTAAGCAAAAAATGTTTTATAACATTTTTTCAGAAAAGTAATATTTTCCGAGTTATTTAGGATTGAAAATGTTGATTTTTCATCTAAAAATTGCATATTTTTTTGAAATTTTTTATAAATAACTCGAAAATCTTAAAAATAAAGCTTTTGGAATAACGAATCGATTCATTTTTTATTGTTTACCGTAGGTGTAGTAATAGCCGATTTATCACTCTGTAAACTTCATTCTTTATTTTTCGAAAACTAAATTGCAGCCTTTTACCGTAAAATAATGGCGAAAGAACACATTTTTCTAAAAAAGAAAATATATGTGTATGACCGTTTATAAAGCAGGGTTGGCATGATTTAAATCAAATGATTTAAATCAAGTGATTTTTTTTAATTTTAATCATGTGATTTCAATCAAAAAATTGATTTTATTGAAACTTTATAATAAATCAAAAAATAACTGTAAAAGTTATAAAAATCTATCTTAGAAAAATATAAAAAATATTTCTATAACAGATATAACAGATAATAGATCGAAAAATAATTGTACATTTTATAAAACTGTATAAAAATACCTATTCATCAATTTAAATGGTGAACCGATTTTTGAAGTAATTTCGTGTGAATCCATAAGACTGCTAAACGCAGGGATTTATTTTAAAATTATGGTATTAATAATAAATTATAGTATGTTTCCAAATTCTTACCTTATTTTGATTTGCAGTAAGTACTTTACACTTTGATATTAGATAATACTAATTTCATTCTCGATTTAAGACTAATTCCTAACAACAGTTTGACTTACTGTACAGGGTGGGTCAAATTCGACGCTTTTAAATGGAAACACCCTTTTCTATAGGAGGTAGACGAAAACTAATATCGGTGTCTGGAGCTCAATTTTCATCAAAAACATGATGGTGAAAACCGCACATCAATATCTGTTACCGTTTCGGAGTTACGGGGTGTTTTTCAAAAATGTGCATTTTTAACAAATCGCTGTAACTTTTTTGCTATGGAAAATTTTGTATTTCTATGAAAACATTTCCAAAGCACTTTTTTACGTAGAATTTAATGGTTTAAGTATAATTTTTTTTAAATTAATAATTTAAGAGTTATCAAGAAAAAAATTGATTTTTTATTTGGGACACCCTCTATATTTTTAATTAACTGAAAGGAATTCAAAATTACCTATCCAAAAATATAGCACACTTGATATTTTGTTATAATCCCCTTAGAAATACAGAATTTTTAAGTTCGCCACTTTTAACTAGTAGGCTTTGGGCCCTTTATTGATGATCCGCCCTTAATGGAACTCGAAAACATGTTTTTCCAGCAAGACGACGCACAGCCTCTGAAGGCTGAAGTTATCAGCAAATTTTTGCAGCCAATTTCAAGAATAACTGGATAGCTAACCAAGATCCCAGCCGTTGGCCGTCGAGGCCGCCTGACTTAGTGCCCATGGATCTAATCCTATGGATATATTTGCGGAAGAATAAAGGTTCCTTATTCTTCCGTATAATCTAGACATAATTAAAAATACTCAGCAGTTATGAGAGGGTATCTTTCACCCCCACTGAGTTAATGAATTCCGCGAGAAATGTTCAAAAACTGCCCCGTCTGTCCATAACAGAAGACGGTCGACATGTCGAACACGTGTAGCAATGTCTTGGTACGCTATTAATTTTTATTGTTATTAGATATAGTTTAAATGTGTTGATGTTGGTTAAATATATTTTAAATTGTTATAAAATTCTGCATCTCTCAAAGCAAATATTATTTTCGTTTTGATTGATGCTCACTCAATTTTTTTGCATTACAGCCGGTGCCGTTCAAGGCCTACTTATTTAAAGCGGGCGAATTTTTATATACTCTATATCTCGAAGAGGAATCGAGCAAAATATCAAGTGTGTTATATTTTTGGAAAGGTAATTTTAAATTCTTTTCAATAAATTTAAAATATACAGGGTGTCCTATATAAAAAATCAATTTTTCTGTTGATAACTCTTAAATTATTAATTTAAAAAAAATTATACATAAACCATTAAATTCTACGTAAAAAAATGCTTTGGAAATGTTTTCATAAAAATACAAAATTTTCCATAGCAAAAAAGTTACAGCGATTTGTTAAAAATGCATATTTTTGAAAAACACCCCGTAACTCCGAAACGGTAACATATATCGATATGCGGTTTTCACCATCATGTTTTTGACAAAAATTGAGCTCCAGACACCGATATTAGTTTTTGTCTATCTCCTATAGAAAAGGGTCTTTCCATTTAAAAGCGTCGAATTCGACCCACCCTGTACATTTTGAGGTCCATCGTAAAGCTATTCCGACGTTACAAGGAGGCACAAAAAGTACATTTTTACTTCGAATAAAACACCATTTTTTTAAAACATTACAAATAATTTTTTAATCAATTTCAAACATTGCAACTAATACAAACAGTAATCGAGAAACGATTTGTACACTCGTTGAATTTGACAACCAACATCAGTTTAATAATATATTTTTGCACTTTTATGCTTAGGCGTAACAGTGCTTTACTTTTATGCCTACCCGTTAAAATGACAAAAATTACTACTTTAGAGACGTTTGAAAAAAAATCCTTTTGATCTGAAGAGAGCGACTTTTTTTGCGGAATATATTGGTGACCGATGTGGAAAAATGACACGCGCCATAGAATTGTTAATGTTATCGGTATCGCTCAGAGTTATAAAGATTTAGCCATTTTGGATAGGAATTTAATTTGAAATAAGTCCTAGTCATTTGGAAATCCGATTTAAATATTGTTTTGAATTAAAATCAAAAAAATCTGATTTAAATTAAAAAAATCCGATTTAAATAAAAAAATCTGATTTTTTTGATTTTTTTAAAAAATCATGATTTTTTCCAACCCTGTTATAAAGTGCTTGAAAAGACATTTTAAATGTCTTTTTTTAAAGGTCTTTTCAAGTTTGTAGCTCGGCTTCAAAAACTCGCGGAGTTATGAAAAAAATAAAATGGTTACCTCATTTTTTCGGAAAAAAATTAACAACAAAATCTATGACTAAAATCATAAAAATAAAAACTATCAATTGGTAGAAAATTACACGAGCTACAAATTAACATCCATAATTGAACAGTCTTGAACTCTTCATTTTTACGAGATTTTTGGGTTTTAAGTGCTCAAAGAAGGTGGTCCTTACATGCAAGTCAAACTAAAAAAAAACGTAATATCTACGAAATAAAGAGATCTACAGAAAAATTGAAAGAGAGCAAAAATATTGCAAAAAAGACCTTCAATATTCCTCTGTTGCATTGTTTACGAATCTTGCTTAGTTTTTGAGATATGTCAAAAAATTAAAAATTTTTAAAAAACAAAAAATAATTTTTTTTCATTATTTTCGACTCTTTTCCAATTTAGGCATTGTAAACTGCTTGAACTTGCAGAGTCAATTGTTAGTACCTAACTATAGCCAACTGTACAGGGTGTCCCACTAAGAATAGCTCTCGGCTGTATCTGTATAGTCTATTTATAACTAAAGAGGCTGTGGGAAATTGCTGGAAATTATTTTCAAGTTTGTAGAACGACCGCTAGGGGGCGCCACTGCAACGAAAAATAAGAAAATGGAGTTTTTACACAATTTTGCGTAGATAAGATATACTATAAGTAACAGCTTCATAATCTTCAGTAAATTTTGAATATTTTTTGTTAGAGCCATTTTCCCCTATCTACCAAAATAAAGTGGTGGGGGAAGGTTAGATCTGTTTTTATTTGCATATTAATAACTCTGGACTGGATGGTCGGAATCCAACAAGCGAGGGCTCCTTTAAAAGAGCGTTTCTTATTCTATATTGTACCATATAAATAATAATAATAAACTTTTGAACGTAGACGTTAGGGGGCGTTGTCTTGCAATTTAACAAACATTGCGCGTTTTTTCAAAAAAATTAAATGCAATAGTATATGTAATTTTAGCTGATAGTAAAGAGTAGTAAAAGCTTAAAAAGTCAGCGAAAACCGCATCGTGGTATCTTCTTTCAAACCGAAGATATTAGCAAAATTATAATAAATACCAAAAAATAAGCCCTTAATTACCTTACTTTTACAACACGGTATCAGTAGCCCTCTTGATTATGCCCATTCTAACCTAAAAATAAGATAGAAACAGTTAGTTTCTTTTAAAATCGACGATATATTAAAATATCATAATATCAGATGTATTAATATCTAATAATTAAGATATTAATAATAGTGAACAAGAAACGATGATTCAGTGAAGTCATGGTAGGCTTTGGAAAAAAGTTGCGTTTGACGTAATAGTATAAACGTCAAATTGTTATTAGATCAACATTTTGATAGTCTTAGCAGCGTTTTTTATCTTTTGATTGCTTTTTCAAAATGCCAACAACTTCAACGACTTAAAATAATAAAGGCATTTTGAAAAAGTATTTAAAAGATAAAAAAAAACGCTGCTAAGACTATCAAAATGTTGATCTAATAACGATTTGACGTTTATACTATTACGCGAAAAGCAACTTTTTTCCAAAGCCTACCATGACTTCACTGTATCATCGTTTCTTGTTCACTATTATTAATATCTTAATTAT